AATAAAATGAAAAGCTTTAAAATTAGAAAAATTTAAAAGAAAAATTAAAGTAAAAAAAATTAAAAAATAAAATACTTTAAAAATAGAAAAATTAAAAATAGAATTTAAATTAAAAAAAATTAGAAAAATAAAATGAAAATCTTTAAAAATAGAAAAAATTAAAAATAAACATTATATAAAAAATAAAATTAAAAAAATAAAATGAAAAGCTTTAAAATTAGAAAAATTAAGTAAATAAAAAATAATATTTGAAAAATAAAATTAAAAGCTTTAAAAATAGAATAATTAAAATTAAAAATTTAAATTAAAAAAAATTAAATAAAATGAAAAGCTTTAAAAATAGAAAAATTAAAAAAAAAAATTAAATTAAAAAAACTAGAAAAATAAAATGAAAATCTTTAAAAATAGAATAATTAAAAATAAACATTAAATAAAAACTAAAATTAGAAAAAAATAAATAGTTTAAAAATAGAAAAACTAAAAAAAAACTGAATTAAAAAAAAAATTATTAAAAGTAAATGAAAAACAAACTAAAAACCGTAAAGTGCTGTAAAGTACCATAAAAGTTCCATAAATGGTGGTGCCGTGAAGCAAAACTGTCGTAAAACGCTCATTTTACGTCACTTTACGACAGTCGCGCTTTACGGCACCTTTTACGACAGTTCTGCTTTACGGCAATTTTACGACAGTCGCGCTTTACGGCAGCTTTTACGACAGTTCTGCTTTACGACACCTTTTACGACAGTCGCGCTTTACGGCACCTTTTACGACAGTTCTGCTTTACGGCACCTTTTACGGCACTTTACGACAGTCGCGCTTTACGACACCTTTTACGACAGTTCTGCTTTACGACACCTTTTACGACAGTCGCGCTTTCCGGCACCTTTTACGACAGTTCTGCTTTACGGCACCTTTTACGACACTTTACGACAGTCGCGCTTTACGACACCTTTTACGACAGTTCTGCTTTACGGCACCTTTTACGACAGTTCTGCTTTACGGCACCTTTTACGACAGTCGCGCTTTACGGCACCTTTTACGACAGTTCTGCTTTACGGCACCTTTTACGACAGTTCTGCTTTACGGCACCTTTTACGACAGTTCTGCTTTACGGCACCTTTTACGACAGTCGCACTTTACGGCACCTTTTACGACAGTTCTGCTTTACGGCACCTTTTACGACAGTTCTGCTTTACGGCACCTTTTACGACAGTCGCACTTTACGGCACCTTTTACGACAGTCGCACTTTACGGCACCTTTTACGACAGTTCTGCTTTACGGCACCTTTTACGACAGTTCTGCTTTACGGCACCTTTTACGACAGTTCTGCTTTACGGCAATTTTACGACAGTCGCACTTTACGGCACCTTTTACGACAGTCGCACTTTACGGCACCTTTTACGACAGTTCTGCTTTACGGCACCTTTTACGACAGTTCTGCTTTACGGCAGTTTTACGACAGTCGCGCTTTACGGCACCTTTTACGACAATCGCACTTTACGGCACCTTTTACGACAGTTGTGCTTTACGGCACCTTTTACGACAGTTCTGCTTTACGGCAGTTTTACGACAGTCGCGCTTTACGACACCTTTTACGACAGTTCCGCTTTACGGCACCTTTTACGACAGTTCTGCTTTACGGCACCTTTTACGACAGTCGCGCTTTACGGCACCTTTTACGACAGTCGCGCTTTACGGCCTCTTTTACGACAGTTCCGCTTTACTGCACCTTTTACGACAGTCGCGCTTTACGGTTTTTATTTTGTTTTTCATTTATTTTTAATTAATTTTTTAAAAATTTTATTTTTTATTTAATTTTTATTTTTAATTTTTTTATTTTTAAAACTTTTCATTTTATTTTTTTAATTTTATTTCTTATTTAATTGTTTTTTTAGTTTTTCTATTTTTTAAGTATTTATTTTATTTTTTATTTCATTTTTATTTTTAATTTTTCTATTTTTAAAGCTTTTCATTTTTTTTCTTTTTTTTTTTTTGTCTTTCTATTTCTAAAGTATTTATTTTATTTTTCTAATTATATTTTTTATTTAATTTTTGATTTTTAATTTTTCTATTTTTAAAGTATTTATTTTATTTTTCTAATTTTATTTTTTATTTAATTTCTATTTTTAATTTTTCTATTTTTAAAGCTTTTCATTTTTTTTTACTTTTTATTAAATTTTTATGTTTAGTTTTTCTATTTTTACGGGTTTTTTTATTTTTCTAATTTTATTTTTTATTTAATTTTTGATTTTTAATTTCTCTATTTTTAATTTTTTAAATTTTTTTAATTTAATATTTATTTTTAATTTTTCTAATTTAAAGCTTTTGATTTTATTTTTCTAATTTTATTTTTTTATTTAATTTTTATTTTCAGTTTTTCTATTTTTAAAGTATTTCTTTTATTTTTTTTAATTTCATTTTTTATTTAATTATTTATTTTTATTTTTCTAATTTTAAAGGTTTTCATTTTTTTTTTTTTATTTAATTTTTTAAATTTTTTTTTAATTTTAAAGCTTTTGATTTTATTTTTCTAATTTTAATTTTTTATTTAATTTTTATTTCTAATTTTGCTATTTTTAAAGCATTTTATTTTTCTAATTTTATTTTTTATTTAATTTTTATTTCTAATTTATCTAATTTTAAAATTTTTGATTTTATTTTTCTAATTTTATTCTTTTTAATTTTTATTTTTAATTTTTCTATTTTAAAAGTTTTTCATTTTATTTTTTATTTTTTATTTATCTTTATTTTTAGTTTTTCTATTTTTAAAGTATTTATTTTTCTAATTTTATTTTTCATTTAATTTTTGATTTTTATTTTTTCTATTTTTAAAGGGGTTTTTTAATTTTATTTTTTATTTAAAATTTATTTAAATTTTTCAAATTGTAAAGCTTCTGATTTTATTTTTCTAATTTTTTATTTAATTTTTATTTCCAATTTTTCTAATTTTAAAGCATTCATTTTTTTTTAAATTTCATTTTTTATTTAATTTTTATTTCTAATTTTTCTATTTTTAAAGCTTTTCATTTTATTTTTCTAATTTTATTTTTTATTTAATGTTTATTTCTAATTTTTCTAATTTTAATGCATTCATTTTATTTTTCTAATTTTAATTTTTTATTTAATTTTTATTTTTAATTTTTCTATTTTTAAAGCTTTTCATTTAATTTTTTAATTTTATTTTTTATTTAATTTTTATTTTTAAATTTTCTATTTTTAAAGTATTTATTTTATTTGTCTAATTTTATTTTTTATTTAATTTTTGATTTTTATTTTTTCTATTTTTAAAGGGGTTTTTTAATTTTATTTTTTATTTAAAATTTTTTTAAAATTTTTCAAATTTTAAAGCTTCTGATTTTATTTTTCTAATTTTTTATTTAATTTTTATTTCTAATTTTTCTATTTTTAAAGCATTCATTTTATTTTTTCAATTTTATTTTTTTTAATTTTTTTTCTAATTTTTCTAATTTTAAAGCTTTTGATTTTATTTTTCTAATTTTATTTTTTATTTAATTTTTATTTCTAATTTTTCTAAATTTAAAGCATTAATTTGATTTTTCTAATTTTAAGTTTTTATTTAATTTTTCTTTCTAATTTTTCTAATTTTAAAGCATTCATTTTATTTTTCTAATTTTAATTTTTTATTTAATTTTTATTGTTAATTTTTCTATTTTTAAAGCTTTTCATTTTATTTTTCTAATTTTATTTTTTATTTTATTTTTATTTCTAATTTTTCTATTTTTAAAGTATTTATTTTATTTTTCTAATTTTATTTTTATTTCTTTTTTTTTTTTTTTTTTACGACAGTCACGCTTTACGGCAGTTTTATGACAGCTGTGCAGAAATATTTCCCTGCTAACGTGTCTGGAAAACTTCTGCTGCAGATGAGGGTGGAGGGAGGGAGGGAGGGAGGGGACACCCGATCCTTGGGGGACAAAGGTGCCCTGGCCCCGTGCCTGGTCACGGGGACGGGGACAAGGACATGCTCATGGGTTTGGCTCCTTGGGGGGAACAGGGACTCCCCATTCCAACCCCCCTCCCTGCCCGAGTTAAAATACCAATGCAAGGTCATGTAAACAAAGTCATTTTTATTTTAAAAAACACACTGGGGGAAAAAAACCCAAGCAAACATATACAGCAAGGCCACAGCCAGTGGAAATTCACTGGTGATAGTGTCAGCTCAGAGAGAACACCAGAGGAAGGGTTACAAGGACATTCTATAAAAACTGGTGTCATTTCAAAAACAACAAAAGGGCTTTTCACTTCCATTAAAGTAATTACAAAGTCAAAGATGGGCTGGAAACCCAGGAGTAGGAAGTCAACACCTCTCCCTCCTGCAAATCCTAACAGTTCTTGCCAACAGTAGGTGGAAACTTGAATTTGCTCCCAAGGTGGCAAAGCACAAAGTTCCCTCTTTGAAGATCTTAAAAAGATCTGAAGTAATTTGCAGCTCTCAGTCCCTGAATTGGGAGATGTCAATGAACAAACCTTTGCTGCTGCCATCAGCAAATACCCCCAGATCCTTGCTCAGCACAGCTCACCTGTCATCCAGGTGATTCCACACCCGGGAAGAACCTAAAACCTTTTGATTTTCCTGTCTAAATGCCAACAAAAAATTCAAAAGCATTACCAAGGGTCTTGGTCACAGCCTCCCTGTGGCTGAACAGAGGATTTATCCCAAATTCTTGAGATCATGGATACACCAAGCAACGCTCCTCACCCTGTATTTTCTTTACAGCCTTCAGAAGCCATTTTTGTAATAAATCTGTAGCAAAAAGCTAAAACCAAAAGCTGGAGACAGCTCCATTCCCCCTAAATAGGCAAACTGGATTTGTGTGGGATGGAGGAAGCAGAGCATGCACAAAAGCTGAGCAGCTCAGTAAGAACCGACATCCCTTCACCAGAGTCTGAAACTAAATTCCCATTGCCACAAAGACCACAAATTAATACAGAACTCTGGTGTCTGGGGTCTTTTTTTTGGCTTCAAACCAGGCTAAGATTTGTTTCAGCAGCAGAGCTGTCCATCAAACACTCCCACGTGCTCTCAGAAAATAAACATTTCAAACAAAACTAGAACCATCTCAGAAAGTCTGGAAATTGATCAAGACTCAAAGAGCAATTCTCAGGTCAGCAGGAGTTTCTCAGAAATGGCCCAGGGGCTGCTCCCAAGCCTCAGCCCCTGCTCAGAGTGCTTTCCAGTCAATGGGCTTCTTCCCAGATTTCCTGAGGAATTCATTGGTCTTGGAGAAGTGCCGGCAGCCAAAGAACCCTCTGTTGACAGAGAGGGGTGAGGGATGAACCGTCTGCAGGACGTGGTGACGCTTCTGGGGACAGCAGAGGAAACCACTTGTTGGATTTGCAAGCTTTGGCTGCTCCTGCTCCAGGACAGCTGTGATTTACCCCCATCCCTGCTCTTTCTGCTCCAGGGCAGGTGTGATTTACCCCCATTCCTCCTCTTCCAGGACAGGTGTAATTTAGCCCCATTCTTATTCCTGATCCAGGGCAGGTGTGATTTACCCATATTCCTTCTCCTACTGCTCCAGGGCAGGTGTGATTTATCCCCATTCCTCCTTTTCCTGCTCCAGGACAGGTGATTTATCCCCATTCCTGCTCCAGGACAGGTGTGATTTACCCCCATCCCTGCTCCAGGACAGCTGTGATTTACCCCCATCCCTGCTCCAGGGCAGGTGATTTACCCCCATTCCTCCTTTTCCTCCTCCTGGGCAGGTGTGATCTCCCCTTACACGCCCTCCTGCTCCAGCCTGAGACCCAAAGATCCAGCCACAAGGACCAAGACTTCTGCCCCACTAAGCAAAGCCACAAATGCCCTCGCATTTCCCAATTGCTGTCAAGCCACCAGCAGATTTCATATTGATTCATGAGCCCTCAGCTAGGACAAAACAGCTCTGTCCTTGTGGGACACTGCTGACAACAGGAGCTTACACTTGCTCCACTTTTCTTGCTTCATTCTGGCAAAGGCTAAGCTGGAGCAGAAGCAGAGCTCGAGCTGACAGAGTTCAGGCAGGAAAAATTCCCAATTCTGTAAGGGAAGTGCCCTCTAGTGTCCACCAACCCACGGGGAAAAGCAGGGAGAGGGAAGGGCTGAGGAGGAGGAGGAGGTGTACCCTGTCGATGGAGCTGCCTTTCCTCTGGGCATAGGCTCCCCAGAGCATGAAGACGAGCCCGTGCAGGTTCTTGTTGAGCCAGGACACCACAGCATCTGTGAACTGCTCCCAGCCCCTCTCCTTGTGGGACGTGGCCTGGTGAGCCCGAACCGTCAGCACCGCGTTGAGCAGGAGCACCCCTGGCAAACAAAGCACCCCCAGAGGGTGAAACAAGGCTTAATCCATCCCTGCACTGCCCAAGGCCGGGCTGGAGGGAGCCCTGAGCAACCTGGGAGAGTGGAAGGTGTCCCTTGGATAAGCTTGAAGCTCCTTTCCAACCCAAACCATTCTGGGATTCAAGCTTCTTTTTTTTCCTGCTGAAGCAAATTTTCATTTTAAGGTGCTCAGAAGTGATTTTCTCTCCTACAGGTGGATTATTTCCAGCCACAGGGCTGGTGTTTGGATAAGATTCTTTCCTGCTCCACAGGGGGCACATCACTGAGTGTCTCTGAGCTCACCTTGCTTGGCCCAGCCCGTCAGGTCCCCATGGCCAGGGTGGGTGAAGCCCTCAATGTCCTCAGAGAGCTCCTTGTAAATATTCTCCAAGCTGCAAACCAAACCAGCAGAAGATTTGTAATATGACAAGAGCAAGCAGCACCACCTATTGCTCTAAGCAGGCAAGAAGAGCATGGATTTTAAGCTTATTATTTAAGATAATAAAGCCATTTGCAGAGGCAGGGACTCTGTGTGTCTGCCTGGAAGCTTTAATGAGACTGGAAATGAAAATTTACATCCAGAATATCACCAAAACTACACAGAATTATCCTTCCAGGTGATGCACAACTCAGATTTAAGTAGCTGCAAACCGCTTCACATCAATTTGCCCAGCCCTGAGCACCACAGAACTGCAAATCATTAAATAACAAAAGGGATTTTGTAAATGTTCATACCTGGGGGGAGGTGGAACAGGTTTCTGGACACTGAAGCAGAGCCCATGAGCTTGCTTAGGTCCATGGTATGGATCTTGTCCCAAAATAACAACCTTCACCTGAAAGCAGACCTTGCTTAGCACTGAATTGTAATCAGTATTATTCCCCAGAGAGTGAGGAAAAAAAGGTTTATAAACAAGCTTTATCCTAAAACAGAGACAAAAATTGCCACAAACCAACCCCTCCAAGAAACTGAAGTTAAACCCCAGATATCTCATTGCTAAAGAGCACAGAGCCCACCTAATACTAGGGATTAATATCCTATGGCTTTGCTGCCAAAATAATGAATATAACTAGTACAATCTGAGAGCAGAAGACCAACATTTTCACAGTCACAAAAAACCACCTTGTTATTTTCCAAGTAAGTGTCATCCCATTTCAGCTTTATGCCACACTTGCTGTGATATTTTTGACAGCTTTTATTGGAAATAACATTACCTTGTGTCCTCTTATTTTCTTTAATAGTCCTTAAGAACAAGAGATGCACAAGATCAAAAAGCTATGAGCTAGGTTAAGCTGTTAACACCAGAAAAAAGATCAAAAGAACCAGAGGATGTTCAGTGGCTTGTGAGGGTAATAAAACCATAAAATCACGGTTTCTTAGCAGACATGAAAGCGAAGAGTGGATTTATGAGTTAGGTGAGCCAAACAACAATGTCCCCATCCCATGGGATCCAAGTTTAAGGGACAAAACACGTAAGGAACGAGTCTGTGCACCCACCCTGCACCTCCAGGGTTTTAAACTGCCCTGACCAGCTCAGAGACCCCCACACCACGGCCCTACTCACATCCCAGATGTCGCACATCTGCGTCCAGGTGAAGACCTGCTCGGGGGGCGGATACACCGTGTAGCGCTTCCTCTCCTCGGCCACGAACGCCATCAGCTGCGGGGGCAGCGGGGGCTCAGGGGGGCTCAGCGGCCGCTCGGGGCGGTGTGGGGGGGTCGGGGAATGCCGCTCACCTCCACGAAATAGGGCTTGGAGAACTCCCCGGCCAGCTGCCGCCGCCAGCTGTCGCCGAAGCCCGGGGGCACGTTCCGCTCCGCCAGCAGCTGCCGCGCCGCCTCCTTGTTCTTGCGGATGCGCTCCTGCTGCTCCGCGCTCAGCGCTGGGCTCGCGTTACCGCCGGATTCCTTCGCCTTCTTGGCGGCGCTCACCTGGAAGCAGCGGGCAGGGGGGTGGCTGCGGAGGGTGCGGGAGGGCAGCGGGGACAGCCTGGTGCGGGAGTGCAGCCTGGGGCGGAGGAGCGGCCCGGGGCGGGAGAGCGGCGCGGCCACGGCGCCACCGGCCACGGCTGCACAACGCGCGGCCACGGCGGCGGCGGAACCAGCCATGGCAGAACGCGCGGTCGCGGCTGCACAACGCGCGGCCACGGCGGCGGCGGAACCAGCCATGGCAGAACGCGCGGCCACGGCGGCACCGGCCACGGCTGCACAACGCGCGGCCACGGCGGCACCGGCCATGCCTGCACAACGCGCGGCCACGGCGGCACCGGCCATGCCTGCACAACTCGCGGCCATAGCGGGACACGCCCCACCCAAGGGGCGGCCCCGCCGTACGCGGCGGTTGCGCGGCAAAACACAAAACGTGCCCCCATTGGCCGCCCGCAGCCGAGAGCACAAACGCCCGCTCGCTATTGGTCACCGGGGAAAAAAGCTCGCGTCTCTCCACTGGCTCGCAGCGGCTGGAGGGGAGGTTTTCACCTAGTAACTGTGACGTCACGGAGGGACTCAGCCTCCATTGGGCGGCAATGCAGCGTGGCCGCTTGATTGGCAGCTCAGCCACGCGTGGAGAGGCGCGGGAGTTTGGAAATTGTGCCCCCCCCCCACCCACACTCCCCCCCAACCTCCCCTTAGAAAAGGCCGGCAGCGCCCCCAGCCCTCTCAGAGCGCCACACAGAGCCAGGCACGGACATGCCGCCACCAGACCCCTCTCCTCCCTCCGCTCTCCCCTCCTCCGGAGCCGCGGGCCCCCTCAGCTCCCCGGCCGCTACCTCAGAATCGCCGCCCGGCTCCGGGGAGCGCCCGCGCTTCTTGGCCGGCACGGGGCTGAAGAAGGAGTGCAGCGTCCTCTGCCCGATCATGGCTGCGGCGGAGCGGGGCAGGCAGCGAGCGAGGGCGGCCGGGGCTGAGTGAGGGGCGGCAGCGGCGCGGAACGGAGGGGGGGGGCGGGACTCGGATTTGGCGCTAAAACCGCGCGCGTGCGCTCCGGGGCGTGGCCAGCTGGAGAGGGGGCGGGGCTTCGCGTGCACCCATTTCCCGCGGGATCGCGGCTCCCGTTCCTTCGCTCCCGGGTATCGCTCCCGGTCCCGGGTCCGCCCATGGACGCGTTCGTGGTCAAACTGCCCCGCGGGCCGGCGGGGGATGGCGGCGGCAGCGGCGGGAAGAGGCCGCGGCTGGAGAAGCCTGGCCCGGAGCGGCCGCCGCCGCGGGAGATCCGCGCCGAGGGGCTCAGCTGTGATTACCGCATCCTCTTCGGCAAGGCCGAGGCGGACGAGATCTTCCAGGAGCTGGAGAAGGAGGTGGAGTATTTCGAAGGTATATTCCTGCCCTGTGAGCGTGCTGCAGCACGGGCTGTCCAGGGAGGCCTCCCGAAGGGCCTGGACAGAGCTCTTGGAGACCCTGCTTGGGCAGGAGGGTGGCCTAGATGACCCCCACTGGTCCCTTCCACCCTCAACCTTTCTATATCCAGCTGTATTCTCCTCCATATCCCCCTTCCCAGTGAAGCATTTCCCTGCCCAGCCCACCCAGGTGGGTCCCAGGGAAGTTCCCAGGGCCTGGGCACAGCTGGTGGGCACTGGGCGGTTCCTGCAGCCACCTGGTGTTGGCACAAGGTGGCCCTGAGAAGCCAAGGGACACAGGTCTGACCCTACAGGGTTGGTTTTGCTGGGCTGGAAGTGTTTGTCAAGAGATAAACCTGGAGTGGTGATGGAATTGGTTCCATGCAAAAGGGAGCAGAGGCAAACCCTCCCCCTAAAACAGCCTCCCCCCGGCAGGAGCCAGCCCCTCATCATCCTCACACTCACACCTGGAGCTGCTCCGAGCCCCCATCATCCTCACACTCACACCTGGGGCTGCTCCGAGCCCCCATCATCCTCACACTCACACCTGGAGCTGCTCCGAGCCCCCATCATCCTCACACTCACACCTGGGGCTGCTCCGAGCCCCCATCATCCTCACACTCACAGCTGGGGCTGATGCCACTCTCCAACAGCGCCTCTCCCTGTCCAGCACACAGCCCGGTTCTCACAGGCACAGAGCAAACAGAATCTGCTACGGGTGCTGGCTTTTCTTAGTCCGTCTGATTCCACAATGCAGAGCTGGGATTTTACACGTCTTCCTTTTGGCTCTCTGGATGACAAGCGCCTCTTCCAGGACTGCGACACGACTTGGGGACTGGCAGAGAACGGAGGCAAAAGGTGCCAGAGAGCCCTTTCTATCGCCTTCAGCCCCTGCAGCTGTTCTGATGGTTTCAGGGCACAGCTTGGTCCATTCTTAGATAAAAACGCTAGGGCAATATTTTCAAAACTACTACCCATCTCCAGTCAGAGTTTCCTACATTCCTGTAAACAAATGAGTGGATAGAGAAGGTTTCTCCCCAAATGAATTTAGAGACAAATTCCTATTCTTTACCAATACCTATAAAACCGAATACCTTGACAGGTTTTAGCATTCTACACCCACTCACCCCTCCCTGTGCATTTGGTGGCAGCTTTGGGTCCCTCTGGGGGACGGCCCCCAGTGTGACCCCCGCCCCTCGCCCGCCCCCCACCTGCTCCTGCACCGCCGTGGGGCTCCCACTCCTGGGCACCTTGGGGTGCCCCCAACGGCATCAGAGCCCCGAGTCTTCACCCCGCCTTTCCCTGACCCCCAAAGAAGGCTCAGAACGAGTCCGACTGCCCTGGACAGCAGCGCAGCGCTTCCCCCAAGCCCTTTCGACAGAATCCCCCCAGCAAGGGATTCTGCTGCAACAAGAAAGGGGGGGCAGCCCCCAGAAGGGTTGAGGTTCCTGCCCAGCCTCGCTGTCACGGGCCAGGGGCAGCGAGAGAGGGAGCGGCACAGACGGCGGGGACGGCCCGGCGCGGAGCGGGGGCCGCTCTCAGCGCGATGCCGGCAAAGCCGCAGCTCCGGCGCTGTCGGCCGCGCTGCGGGGCAAAGAAGGAAAGCGGCACGGGGGGATCCGCCGAGAGCCTCCGGCCCCGCGCGGGGACTCCCGCAAGGGCCCAGGGGCGCCGGGCTCCGGCCCTCGGGGCTTTATTCTCCGGCAGCCCGAGCCCCGCGGCTGCGGGGCAAAGAAGGAAAGGGGGCACGTGAAGAGAGGAGCGAGAGCAGGGCACGACAAAGGGCGGCGAGGGAGCTCGGGCTGTGCAGGAAAGCGGCACGGGAAGGGAAAGCCCGGGAGGGTGGACAGAGGAGGGAGAGAGGGGGAACAGAAAGGAGTAGCGGGGTAGGGACAGGACAGGAAGGAGCCGGGTTTGTAGGGGGAGAGGGAATGGGGGAAAGGGAGCGAGAGAAGGCGAATACGGGGAGAAGGAAAGGAGAAGTAGAGAGAGCCTGGTTTGAAGCCAAAAAAAAGGACCCCAGACACCAGAGTTCTGTATTAATTTGTGGTCTTTGTGGCAATGGGAATTTAGTTTCAGACTGTGGTGAAGGGATGTCAGTTCTTACTGAGCTTCTCAGCTTTTGTGCATGCTCTGCTTCCTCCATCCCACACAAATCCAGTTTGCCTATTTAGGGGGAATGGAGCTGTCTCCATGGGAGGAAAAGGCTTTTGGTTTTAGCTTTTTGCTACAGATTTATTACAAAAATGGCTTCTGAAGGCTGTAAAGAAAATACAGGGTCAGGAGTGTTGCTTGGTGTATCCATGATCCCAAGAATTTGGGATAAATCCTCTGTTCGGCCACAGGGAGGCTGTGACCAAGACCCTTGGTAATGCTTTTGAATTTTTTGTTGGCATTTAGACAGGAAAATCAAAAGGTTTTAGGTTCTTCCCGGGTGTGGAATCACCTGGATGACAGGTGAGCTGTGCTGAGCAAGGACCTGGGGGTATTTGCTGAGGGCAGCAGCAAAGGTTTGTTCATTGACATCTCCCAATTCAGGGACTGATAGGTGCAAATTACTTCAGATCTTTTTAAGATCTTCAAAGAGGGAACTTTGTGCTTTGCCACCTTGGGAGCAAATTCAAGTTTCCACCTAGTGTTGGCAAGAACTGTTAGGATTTGCAGGAGGGAGAGGTGTTGACTTCCTACTCCTGGGTTTCCAGCCCATCTTTGACTTTGTAATTACTTTAATGGAAGTGAAAAGCCCTTTTGTTTTTATTGAAATGACACCAGTTTTTATAGAATGTCCTTGTAACCCTTCCTCTGGTGTTCTCTCTGAGCTGACACTATCACCAGTGAATTTACACTGGCTGTGGCCTTGCTGTATATGTTTGCTTGGGTTTTTTTCCCCCAGTGTGTTTTTTAAAATAAAAATGACTTTGCTTACATGATCTTGCATTGGTATTTTAACTCGGGCAGGGAGGGGTTGGAATGGGGAGTCCCTGTTCCCCCCAAGGAGCCAAACCCATGAGCATGTCCTTGTCCCCGTCCCCGTGACCAGGCACGGGGCCAGGGCACCTTTGTCCCCCAAGGATCGGGTGTCCCCCTCCCTCCCTCCACCCTCATCTCCGGCAGAAGTTTTCCAGACACGTTAGCAGGGAAATATTTCTGCTTGACGTGACCGTCACGTGCGAGACCAAACTGGAACAGCCGGGCAGAGGGGGGGGGGCCGTGCTTCCCTCGGGGGCGGCCCTGGCACCGCGTGGGCTCCGGCCCGGGGAGAGCGGGGAGGGACAGATGGACACACGGACTGACCGCTGACACCGCAGCCACCCGGGAGCCCTGCGTGACCGGCGGGGTCTGGCGAGGAGGGGGCTCGGGGCTGGTAGCCATGGTGAGGGGGCGAGGGCTGAGGGGAAGGTGAGGGGCTGAGGGGAAGGTGAGGCGCTTTTCCCTCACCCCCATGCCCAGCTCTGACGGGGATAATCGCCTGCACTTACCGCGCTTCGGGGGTCCCGTTCAACGCCCCCCGTGTGAGGGCCGGGCTGGGGGCCGCCATCCTGAGGGTGCTGTGAGGGCCGGGCAGGCCAGGCCGTGTCACCCCCGGCTCCTCACGGAGCTCCGCTCCGGCCGAGGGCGGCCGGTGCTGGAGCGTTTGGGACGGGGCCGTTGTTTTCAGCGGCACAGCCGTGACCGCCGTGCTCCGTCTCCCCCAGGGCCCGTGAATGCTGCCGGCTGCGCTGCTCCTGCTCGCTTTGCTGCTGCTGCTTCTTTGGGCCAAAATGTCCAATTCTCGGTGCGAGCAGGAGAAGGAGCCGGAGGAGAGCCCCGCCGGGCCGAGCCTCCCGGGCCAGCAGAGCCCCCCGGGCCAGCAGAGTCTCCCGGGCCAGCAGAGCCCCCCGGGCCAGCAGAGCCCCCCGGGCCAGCAGCCGCAGCCGCCGCCGCCGCCGCGGGCCGGGCGGGCAGGCGCGGAGCAGGAGC